CAAATACATTGTTATCCAGACTTTACTTAAACACCCACCAAATTTTGCATACCCAAAGAGAAAACCTAATTACTAAGGAACTGTAAGCCAAAGTTGCATGTGTGATACATCATTTTAAAGATAACACCTTGAAGTGCCTGAAAATATAAATGAAAACACAGCATAAACTGCATCAGTTCAAACATGTCTTTTTTGAATAGCAGTAACAAAGACATGCTTAATAATAGGCGTGTAATTGTTTGACATTTATTCTGCATTATGTCAACCACAACTGCAGATCATTTCAGACCTCTAAGTATAACAGTTCCAGAGCTATGGGACTTTTAACTTCTGGTGTCACCAGCATCTCCAAACCTCTCTAAATGTGCCAAATTATTCCAAATAGTGATTATTGCTTTTACACAACAATTTTACCCCAAAAATCACATTTTCATTTGATGATTGACATGTGAGTATCTTTCTCTGTTGTGCAAGCCGATAATACGACTCTACTTTATTTAAATTAGCCATGTTTACCCTTGTTTGACATCTCATTTCATTGGCTACAAAGCCAAACAGGGCACATTTTATTAACCAATAATAGCAGGACTCTATCAGGTGTAATATAGCTTTGCTCGGTACGTCATTGGCTGACAGGAACAGCCCTTGAAGTATCACAAGTGCTTCTTGATTGAGTCAAACCAAATCATACATTGATGCCATACACTTTTTTTTGTAGGCAGGAAGGTGATAAAAACAAACATAACATCAGAGGCAAACAGTTGAGGAAGTAAGTCATATTAGCAAGATGCTGAGCATTAGGTACGACCAGCAAACTTTTCTGATGTCAAAAAACAGACGTTGCTCTTCTCTTTATTAAAGGGGAATTTGTAATATACTGTGATGAATTTTAACCGTTTAACTTCCACCAGTTAAGTAGAGTCATATTATCGGCTTGCACCCTTATGGATGGGTGGAGTATAATCAATGAAAGATTGGATTATAATATGGCTTCTGGATGCCTTGAAAAATATATTGTTGAAGCTGCTTTTTCATATTTATGTTTTCCCATGCTGCTATAACTGTGTTAATTATGCTTTGTTGCTCATTGTGTCCATAAAATGAAGTTGATGGTTGTATTCTGGAGAATCTAAGCTTTCTAACGATGTCTAACATGTCTATATTGGTAAAAGTTTAAACCTTATTACTCTTATGCATTCCGAGATGTCAGGGCAAAATATATCAAAAGAGTCGCCGGTGAACTGGTGGAAGTTAAACGGTTAAAATGCATCACAGTATATTACAAATTCCCCTTTAATAAAGAGAAGAGCAATTATTTGAACCATCATTAAGACAGCAACACGGTAAGCTTACCTTTTTCCTTCTTGTTGTACTGGTTACTCAAAAAAACAAACAAACTGAAAAGTGAGGCATAAATCATGCTGTGTATACCCACCTTTCGAAGAACAACTTTTATGATCTTGAAGTGCTGTGGACTATTCTTCCACAAGCAGCTTAGGACATAGTCTCCAGGAGAGGAGCTTGAGTCTCGGACCAGGAAGTCTCCGTCCCTCTCAAACAGGGATTCTGAAGCCTTGAGGAAACAGTTCAGGTTAATTTAGGCAGCTGTTCATACAGGCTTACATTTTTACTTATGCCTGAAACATGATTTCAACTATTTGTTAAGAAACCATAAGACTCGGAAAAATTATAGTAATTTAACATATTAGCTGCATTCATGGTTAACACTAGCATATCAACACTGCAATAGTTCAGTGTCAAACAGAATTTCTGTACTTCGTCAGTTTTCAATTATCTTAGAAAAAAAAAATAAAAAAAAAAAAAACCACACTGGATAATATATTCTTAAAAAGAAGAATTTGTGCTTTAGTCAACAGACTATTAGACATATGTGGTATTACGGTATTAAAACTATTTTAATAATTGTGACTTCATGTGACAGCTCCTCTGAGACATACATGTGTAATAAACGTCATTATTAAGTGTTTTAACTCTGAGTAATCTACCTGCTTTCAATTTCAACACTTCGATGTTCCTTAAACCCACATAATGCAACCTGAGAAAAACCCCATAGAGATGTATTGTTCTGCAGGTGGTTACCCAATACCAAGAACACTCAGCCACAGTAAACCAAATGACAATGTAAGTCTGAGGAAACAAGGAGAACACTTTATACTCTAGTTTTTCTAGAAGACAAGAGTGAAAAGGTGTGTTTTACAGAGGCAATGATTTGGGTCAAAGATTATTTGTGTGTTATGGTGGCCCAGTCATAGTTCAGCCGTACAGTAAAAATCTACCTTATATTTGATTGGGAATCCGTAGCAAAAATTAAGCCCAGAGAAGTGATGGGCAATTAACA